AGATATGCACGAGTGAGCGATCGAGTGAGTGAGTAAATGAATGAATGTGTTGGGGGATGACACCTACCAAACGCCGGCTCGATTTCTCCTCGAAGGCGCGACGGGTGCCACTATACACACAGAAGCCTTTGTAGAAATCGCCCTGGTCCGCCACTGAAACAGAGACAGGATGCCAAACGTTAAGGGTGCTTCTACTCGTATCGCGTGCGCGCCTAAAATTCGCGCATCGAGTCCTTTTCCACTTTTTTAAACATCGACACAAATCCGCTGGCATACGATTCCGGTGTCTGCATACCATCGTCTGTAAATTGCGAAAACGTTCGCAACAAATGCGGAACGAACGCGAAAATTCGTTCGAATCGCGCGATATCTACCGAACTGTTGTCCCATCATGTGCTAAATCACGAATGGCAAGCCCAATTTGGACACGGGCGAATTTCCACATAGGCTCCTGTTGTTCTATATACACGCGTATCTCTGCGCATGCGCATCTATACTCTCCTCAGACCGACCTTTCTCCTTTTCCTTTTTTGTTCGTCTTTCTCTCTTCCTTCGTCTCCTTATTGCTCCTTATAACGGACAAGGAGAGAAAATCGTTCCGAGAGAGAGAAATAGACAAAGAAAAAGAAAGCGGAAAACGGCTTTAACACCAAGCATATGTCCGCGCTTTTAATGAAAATTCGCCGATCATACACGATTGCTTAGTTGTTCCGTTCCTTCCTTCCTTCTTTCCTTATTTTCTTCCTTCCTTCCTTACCAATCGCCGTGGCTGCTTCACCAAAGGTCGATTCATTCCATTCATCTTGTGGTAAAGACCGCACGCGTTGCACAGGTAGTGGCCCGTACCGTCTCGTCGCCATAACGGAGTGGAAATTGCGCCGCAATTTACACACTCGCGGCCCTCCGTAAAGTATTCCGCCTCGATGTTGTGCACTGCGCGATTTGTATATTTTCAAAATGGAATCCACATACGTGTGAAAGCGCAAACGATTTTCCCTTTCAAAAAGTAAATCATTGGGAAATATTTCGAAACAGTAGGAATTTCACCACGTGCAAACGTGAAAGTGAAACGAAGAAAAACGGGGTGACGGGAGAAGGAAGGAAAGAGAGAAAATATGAAAGGAAAGGATGCAAAAATATACGTGCACGCGTGCTTCGTTTTGTTATTTTCGATCGTGAAAACTCGCGACATTCGAATGCCTGTCGGAAAATGACCATCCAGTGAAAGTGAAAAATGCCTCGAGCAAATCATGCATCATTTCGAAACTATTTCACGCGACAACGCATCGATATGTCACGAACGAACGAATTACCGTCTAATTAGTAATTTTCATTTTGTATCTTTCCAATGCCTCAAGATGATTCTTTACCAATGGAACGAGCAAATAAAACACGCGAACGTGACAAATGAAAATTTTGCAAAAAAAAAAAACTTTCGTGCATAATAATATTTAATCGAACAATTTATAATTTTTTAATTTTACAATTTATAAATTTTCTTTCGATTTCACTTTCGAAACATACCTGATATTCGTCGATTCATCGTCGATCAAATAGAAGACACGTGGTACAAAAATAGAAAATCTAACGCAAATTGTGTTCGTACAAAAGAAAGGATACAGGAAACGAAATAATGCACAAAAAAGGATGTAAAGGGATATGGCGTTATCAGAATTTCCGGTGTTTCTCGATAATAATAACTAGCAGTTGTTGCTAGTACGCATGTCAAGTGCCACGCGTATGCCATCGTATATTCGTTTCACGATCGTTTTCACGATCATTTTTTTAAAAATACGAATTTGCGAATTACATTCGCGATCAATTTTAACGAAACAAGTATATTAGTTGTACATTATCTTCGACGCGCCTTGATCTCGTGTTACTCTACAAGAGAGCAATATCGAAACAGAGAGAGGACGAAAAGGTCGGCGTACCGTAGTCGCACATCCGGCAGAAACGAGACTGGGAAGCAATCGGATATCGTATATTAGTAAGCAAAGAGTAGCTGACGTCGGCGTCCATCTTACGATCTCTAACCGTTCAACGATACGACACCATCGTGAAACCGACGAAGAAAGAGAGATAGCGTAGAGCGAGAAGAACCGTGAACACGAACAGCGTGGAAAGAAGAGAAAAGCGGCGCGAAAACCGTTTGATAACAGACACGACCCACCAGCTCGTTGCTACGCACGTTTTTTTACTATAGCATTCTTGTATTTTTGTTCCATTTTGAAAAAAGAAAACCAAAAATACGAAGTAATTGATTATGTTAAATCTGCTGGACCGTTTTCGAAGATAGCAAAATAAAGGAATTGAAGAACGCATCCTGATCAATGACCACACACAAAAATGCTAGATATATTCTTCGTAACCGAATATTCAACGGTGACCAAGACGCCACATAGAAGATGACGAAGCGACGGGGAATGAGAATGGTCGAGTCGAATTACTTGACGAAGCAGAGCCGTAAGGGGCAGAATGTTGTAACCGACCGTCGCGCCACGCCGGGATAGAGACAACTGTGAGTCCTCCCCTGCCACTGACAGGGGGAGGGGCGGAGGAGTAAAGGTGCGCAAACGGAGAACGCAGGAACAAAATATATATACGATATAACGAAACACAGAGCAAAGACGGAGTGATCGAGTAGCAAGCAAAATGATCGAATCAAGAGATACAATTTTAAATAACAATCCAAGTCCAAATTCGTGTAAAGGGAACAGCGCATATTACAGAATCGGATATTAAACAGAGAAAAGGCCACTTGTAAATAAATTCGTCTGGAACGAGCAAAGAGAGACGGAATAGGACATCATTCGTCGAATGAGTTCGATGTTTCGTTAGGTAGGATGCAAGAGGGTTCTGGCAAGCAAGCAAAGTCAAAGTTAAACCAAGACCAGGCGCGTGCTGGCAAAAGGAATATATATATATGCATATATGTATAGCGGTCGATCATAGATTTGCCGTCGCTGTGGTGCGTAGTCATTTCCTCGTGTGAAGGAAGAACATCGGGCCGCATCGGTCCCAGACGCACGTTCAAAAACCACTCGAGATCGCGGTATGTTAAAAGCCGTATTCCTCGTTCCCCTTGACTTTCGACTAAAGTAGTGATCTACGTTGAAACCGCAGACGCACCCGGGTCGCTTTCCAAAAGACCACGCGCCACTTAAAAAGCTTTCGACTCGACTTTCTTCTCCGTGTCCCCCCCCC